GAGCTGGGTGCCTGGCGAGCAGTCGCCGCTCTCCAGCCGCCCAGCTCTGAATGCAGTGCAGAAGTAAGAGTGGCAATACCACAACCCCCCTACAGTAACCTTGTGACCCCCTCATGACCGCCCTTTGGGTCGGGACCCCCAGTTTGAGAAACGCTGGTCTCCCCCGTGAAATCTATATAGTATAGGGTAAAAGTGCACAAAAAAACAGATTTAACGGGGGAAGACCAGATTTCACGGTCTGTGACGTGTTTTTCATGACCGTGAATTTGGTTATGGGGGATGCTCAGAGACTCATTGGGGCATCTCCAGCTTTCCCACTAGGGAGTGGACGGTTCACCCCACAGTTGCAATGCATGGAGGAAGTTCATTGTCTAGAGTTAGCTCCGAGCCCCAGGGCTTGTCTCTCTGAGTTTTGGGGCCTTGAAAAGGGATTGTTTGGGGCAAGTAATAAATGTGTTACATAAAAAACCTGACTAAAGAGGCCTGACCTCCACTGAGACGCACACCAGGGGACGGTGTTTAAATTGCACTGCCTGGGGGGAGGTGTATAGAACTGCATTGAAAACTGGACACTGCCTGAGAGGCAGGGAGAGCTCAGATTTGTACAGCTGGGGGGCTGCGAGAATCCAGCTATCTGCAGTGCAGTATAATGGGAAAGAGATGGGAACAGAGGCTACACAGCCTGCAGCCCAGAGAAACTATGGTTCTGGCCTTTGCAAGTACAGGGAGGTGACAGGTGTCATGGTTCCCTCTCTGCGTTTGGTTTGGATTTCCTGCAGAGATGGGTTACATTTCCAAAGCAGAGCATTTGGGAGCCCCTGCCCCGCTCTCTGAAGAGTTACCTCCAAATGAAGTCGTGTTCTCCCCTCGTCCCTCCAGCATGAGTGGTCTGGGAAAGAAAAATGCGAGAGGTGATGTGATCAAGGCATATCATAGAATGACTGGTCCAGAGGGAGTTTTTTTCTAATCCCACAAGGAGAGGACGCCCCATGACATTCAAAGGCAACAAAGTTAAAACCGCTTGACATCTCCCCAGGGCACACATCACAGGTACTATCCGAGTGCTGATACAGCATCACACAATGGGCATTATTGGGAGCTGACATCTTCCTCCAAAACAGGTGGCATTAGTCACCATCAGGGACTGGACAGTCACTGCTCTGTTCCATTATGAGAGTACCTGTGTATCTAATCCCTTCCAACCCCATTCACAGTTAAAGGGAGAACAACGATTCCCATCCCCACCCTGAGGACCTTTTCACTAGAATGGACTGTGTTGGGCTGTACGAGGCATTTGTTGTCCCGTGCTGTGGCACACCCCACTCAAAGAAACAAATTTAGACCTCCAAGAATGGCCTAAGGAAAGCCCACCCAGGATCATCTGCAGGTGGAACCAGTGAGAATTGGTCCTCCAGCAGCTAGAAGGGCTGGGAGCTACCAGAAGCCAATCAGGGCCCAACCAGCAGGTAAAAAGGGCTGGCTGCTTCCTCCAAGGGTCAGTTCTAGGTGATGAATGAGGGAGGATTTGATAGCTGCTTTCAACTACCTGAAAGGGGGTTCCAGCATAGGATGGATCTACCAGTGGTTCTCAAACTTTTTTTTCCTCGGACCATTTGAAAATTGCTGAGGGTCTCAGTGGACCACTTAATGATCTTTCCAAATGTTGTTTGTACTGTTAGCTAACTATTGTAAAGCACTTTGGATAAAAGCGCTATATAAAAAAAATGTTTTTTGTTCTACAAATAAAAGCACACAACTCATATTTTAATATCAGTAATCTTACCTCTCGAATGTGATGGATGTGCCCTCTCTCCCCTGCCGTGGCAGCCCCCGAGCTGGAGCTGGGAAGGAGGGGGGTCTCTCCCTGGCAGCTGCAGCTCTGGAGCTGGGGAAAGTCGCCTCTTTCTCTGGCCACCGCAGCCCTGCACATCCTAAATTCCTCCCACCCCCTCTTCTCACCCCACTGCCCCCTCCCACCTACCCCCTATTGCCCCCAAGGCCACCACCTCACCTTACATGTGCGTCTTCTCCAGGGTCCAGGCACCTAATTAGTGGAGCCATGCCTGCGTGGCTGCACTAATTAGGTGGGTGGCCCTTCATTCTCTCGTGTGCGGCTGCCCAGGCATGCACCTTAGACGGAACTATCCGCGGACCACCTGAATGGAGCTCGCGGACCACTGGTGGTCCACGGACCACAGTTTGAGAACCTCTGATCTAGACTGTTCTCAGTGGGACCAGATGACAGAACAAGGAGTAATGGTCTCAAGTTGCAGTAGGGCAGGTTTAGGTTGGATATTAGGAAAAACTTTTTCACTAGGAGGGTGGTGAAGCATTGGAATGGGTTACCTAGGGAGGTGGTGGAATCTCCTTCCTTAGAGGTTTTTAAGATCAGGCTTGACAAAGCCCTGGCTGGGATGATTTAGTTGGGGATTGGTCCTGCTTTGAGCAGGGGGTTGGACTAGATGACCTCCTGAGGTCCCTTCCAACCCTGATATTCTATGATTCTGTGATGCTGTGGTAGAGAAAGAAGGAGCCTCCCTGCCTTATCCTGAAAAGCCCGAGCTGGTCAGGTGCCTAGATCTAATTGCACCTTTGGATTGAGTCAGCAAAAGGCTGTTTTGTTTCCATTGTGGAATGTGAAGCCAGGTGGCCACCTTGAGTTTGGACATCAGTGTGGCTGCTGTAAAATTAAAGGGAGCTTGCTGCTGGCAAACCCGAGATACGGACATACAGCCGTGCACTCTCACTCTCCTGTGAGATCTTGCCATGGCGGCAGGATGGTAAATAACCAGCATGCGCCATCAGGACTGCTTTCGTCCTTGCTAGGGATGAAATTGACAGGGTCCATTCTCGTCAGGGTCAGCTCAATCCATCGTGCGTCCACTGTCGATCAAAGGAGCCCTGTGCCGTTCACTTTGTAGGGGAAACACCTTAGCAAGAACTCCTCTCCATGGATTTTTCACAAGAGCTGAGCTTTGCCCGGGTGTCCTTGATCAAAATGTCCCGTCCCTAGAGTTGTGCAGCGTGATGGGGCAAGTTGATCACCCCCAGCGATGGCTTCATTTTAGTGGTGCTCTTTGTAAACATCTGTGAGATCCTTTGAGGTGAAAGATGCTATAGAAATCTTACTTGTTATTGTATTATCGGCTTGTTTATTAGCTGAATTTATGCTTTTCCTCCACTCTTGGAGTGACACATAAATAACAGTATTATAATCGTATTAATATCTTACATGTATATTGCACCTTTCATTCAGAAGATCCCAAAGCCCTATGCAAACAACGTACAGTGACCGCTTCACCCACCACTGAAAAGCAGCCCCCTCTGGGGTGGAACGTGACATTCCTTTAATAACACAGTGCAGCACTGCTCAGTAGATTAGGACAGGAAGTGAAGAAGAATCCCGTATCTAGTGAATCCTGGAGCTATGGAACACTACAGGGGAATTTACAGTCAAAATAATTTGGCCAGGACACCAAGATTAACACCCCTGCTCTTGTAAAAGGGCCATGGAAACTTAAACAATCACATGCAACCAACAGCTCAATTTAACTACCCTCCAAAATATAAAGGTGCCTTACGTTTATAAAAGTTTATACACTTCACTCTCCCTCACCGAGGAAAAAAACAGAATGCTGAACTTATAAATGTCTGTGAGTTAGTGGCCAAATTTCCATTATATTCTGTGTGTGACTTTAAGACATCCCCTCCCCCACCTGGCCCCATCTGCTTTGCATTTAGCTGTTGCACAGAGGCTGGGAAGCAGATGCTGTTGTCCTCCGAGGAACCAGAGGCCTCTTTAGTTGGGTAACGTTTCTTGTGCCAAGTGCCAGAGCAAGATGTAATTATTCAAGAATTCTTGTATTTCCAAGTAATGGAATTCACCTGATGCAGAGGCTATTTAGAATATCAGGGTTGGAAGGGACCTCAGGAGGTCATCTAGTCCAACCCCCTGCTCAAAGCCGGACCAATCCCAACTAAATCATCCCAGCCAGGGCTTTGTCAAGCCTGACCTTAAAAACCTCTAAGGAAGGAGATTCCACCACCTCCCTAGGGAACCCATTCCAGTGCCTGTCCCCTCATTTTGCAGAAGAGTTTGGACAGAAAACAAACTAGGAGTTCAGGGATTCAGGACCAGGCTACCTGGACAGTCAAACCAAGGAGGCGTGGATTGAACTGTGAAGCTCTCGAGGGGGCTGTGGAGGACTCGGAGGACTAGGTCACCAGTTCAGATCTAGCCCAGGGTCAACACTGATCGAAAGCTGTGAGCACGTTGTCGGTGGCTTGTGTGCAATGAGTTGATTGGTTGGCCACTGTCCCGTTCCTAATGGGACAAGTATCCTGATGGCAAATGCAGGGCTGGCAGTAATGGGCTCCTGGATGGCAATCACAGAAGAGAAACCAGGGTGAGGCTCAAGGAAATTCAATATAAGGGCTGCCACTGTGATGAGCTCACTGGGTATTGTGACTCCAACCCATTGGGAGAGGTCCCCACGTAGCGGGGAAGGGGTTGAAGAGAGACACGAGGAGAGCAGACATCCCTCTGCATCTTGCTGCTTGTAAGATACTGAGCAGGCAGCTTCTGGGACTCCAGAGTACCTAGCTAAGGGCCAAACCCTGCTTCCATTAAAGACATTTGCCATTAGCTTCAGTGGGAGCAAGAGCAGACCCTGCGTGATGCTAAAGGACCCCGGTGTAAGGGAGTGTAGGCAGCCCTGTCGTGGATTGACCGATATAGACACCTTGTTTGGAACCAGATCCCTGGATCTCCTGTGAGGGAGGAGAATGACCAGGTCCTGGTTAATGAGCCATACAGGTGTTGAGCCTTATTCTTGTACCATCCCTGGCTAGAGTCACCGGAAGGTTTGCCCTGGAGCCCTCCATGCTGTAGGACCCAGTGGCTAGCTCTGAGCTGTCTGGGAAGGAGTAGCGAGGAGGGGGTCCCATGTCTTCCCCAAGGGTGTGGCTCTTCTCACTGCCCCCCTGTCTCCCTCCTTCAGGTCCTGAGCTGCGTGAACCCCGACAACGTGAACAGCCCAGAGATTCCCGTGAAGATCCTCAACTGCGACACCATCACGCAGGTCAAGGAGAAGATTCTTGACGCCATCTTCAAGAATGTGCCGTGCTCCCACAGGCCCAAAGCTGCTGACATGGACCTGGGTATGTGAGCACGTGGCCCATCACGGGGTGAGGGGGGACAGGGAGGGCTGTAATTCAAACCCAGCTGGGACCTTGTGTTCAGTTCTGAGCCACCACCTCACCAGACAGAAGGGGACTCACTGGGGCGTGTTCAGAGCAGAGCAGCAGAAATGAGAGGAGGGCCAGCGGGCTCAATAACTGGAGACACTAGACTCTCCCTGCCCTCCAGACCATACACCTCTGCTCCTCCTGCCTCAAGAACAGCCCCAAAGGGAAGAGCAGCCTCTGTTCCTGCTCCTGCGCAGAGGAGCCCAGGTGGCCAATGACCGGAAAGGGACGCGGCAGGGCTGAGAACCCTAGGGCCCAGTTGCCCCATCCTGCTGGAAAACCCCCAGGAGTGACGGTGATCTCAGTTAGGCTCCTCTTGCTGAGATTTCTTGCTAGTCCTTCTGTCAGGGTGGAGGGTTCCGATGGGGTTTGCACCCTCGCTGAGACAGCCCCTTGGTCCCAGGGCCGGTGCAAGGATGTTTCGCGGCCTAGGCGAAACTTCCACCTTGCGCCCTCCCTCCTCCCCGAGCACTGCGGCAGCTCCCAGCCCCCCCGCCCCCGCCCTGAGGTGCCCCCTCTGCGGCAGCTCCCCACCCCCTCTCCGCCCTGAGGCGCCGCCCCCCCCCGTGGCAGCTCCACACACACCCCCGGCCCGGGGAGCCGTGCGGCAGCTCCCCACCCTAGCTCACCTCTGCTCCGCCTCCTCCCCGAGCACACCCTCGCTGCTCCACTTCTCCCGCCTCCCAGGCTTGGGACGCCAATCAGCTGTTTGGCGCCACAAGCCTGGGAGGCAGAGAAGCAGAGCAGGGCAGCGTGCTCAGGAGAGGAGGAGGAGCAGAGGTGAGCTGGGGCGGGGAGTTCCCCTGCGTGCCGCCCCCCTTACTTGCTGCAGGCGGCCCTCCCCGCGCCCCCCTGCCCCAGCTCCCTCCGCCTAAATGCCGGCGGCGACCGGGGCAGCCGAAGATCCAGCTGCTGCGGTCACTGCCGAAGAAAATGCCGCCCCCCAAATCCTAGCGCCCTAGGCGACCACCTAGGTCGCCTAATAGGTTGCACCGGCCCTGCTTGGCCCAGGTAGTATTGATTTCCAGCCCCGAGCTCCACTGGCCACAGGGATGGGCGATGTGACTCCCCATGGTTCCCAACCCAACCCACCCCCTGCTGGCTGCCTACCCTGCCTAGATCCCACAGGGGAGAGCAGCAGGGACAAGGGGTAGTGCCAGGAAAGTATCTGAGTCTCCTCCCTGGCTAGGAGCGGGAGATACGCACCCACGGCTCCAGAGTGCTGTCAGGCTCCTCCCTACATTACGTTACTGCTTTAGAGTGTTATAAACCAAAGGACTTCACAGAGCTCATGCGCTTTTCACCACGACGCGTTGTTGGCTCTTCAGCCCTTCACTCGGCTTGGCCAATGGAACGAGGCATGTCCGTTTCAGTTACATGTCTAGTCGGGGTCATAGTCCAGTTCTCATGCACAGGCTCTAAGCTGCAATGTTTGGGGTTGCACAAACACGGTCTGAGTCTAGAAACCTCTCCTAGCCTAGCTCTGCCGTGAAAGCACTGGGAAGGCTGAGAGATCTGCAGTCAGGTATAACGGCAGGTCCCAGGTAGCTTCTCTTTGCTGGAGGTTCTGGCAGGAGGATAGAAGGACAGGACACAGCACTGTACTAAGTGCTGCTCAGGGCCACCCTTATGGTCCCTGGGAGCAGACTAGCCGGAATTTGCCCTCTGTGACCTTAAACGAAAGAGACTTGAGCGGAAAATTATGGAGTCTATAAAATCCTGCAAAAGCAGACGCGAAACCAAGAGGAAAAGAAATGGACTGATGCCAAGAAACCATTCAGGACGATAATGAAGGCAGAAATGAGAGGTCAGGGATTGAAGTTAAGTGGGGGGGGACTGATAGGGGGGGGGAGAGGGATGCCCGTCAGCAATTGCAGCAGGATTTTTGCTCACAAAGGGTGGTTAAAATAATGGAACAAGCTGCCAAAAGCAGCAGCAATAAAAACCAAATCATATAAATTAGCAAGAATGAACCCGAGATGTTTTTGGAGCGGACGAGTGTCAGTGAGGGACTGGGTGAGGGTGAGAGTGAGGCCAGCCAGGAACTGGAGACTGGGGGTGCGGCGGATTCAGGCCGGATACATTGATCCAGGCCGTGTGCCAGGCTGGGGCCAGGGGACACATTAAGTTTGGATCCAAGGAAGGGCATTGACAGAGGGTGCTGGGTCTGCCAGGGGACTGTGGAATACGTTTGAGCGTTGGTAGGACAGGGAGCCAGGAGTCCCATAAGCACTATGAGGGGCTGCGTGGCCCTATCTCTCAGCTGGGTCCTGTATCAGAACCGCCCCCCGCCCCCCCCGCTTCCTGGGAGAGTTGGCATTAGGGCCCTAATGAGCCATGTGATCTCTGCTTTGGTCCTTACAAATGCCTTGGAGCGGCTGAGTGATGTGGGAGGGGTAGTGGGTCCAGCGGGGTTTAACAGGCATTATACACACCTGCCCCCCGGAAGGACAGAACTTTTCGTGCCCGTAAAGGGGCTGATTAGTAAAGAGCTTATTAACATGAGGCCTCCACACTGAAGATGGAAAAGACCTAGGCATGCCTCATCCAGGACAAGCCTGTTCCCAGCAGTGAGTAAAGCAACAGGCTCTCTCAGCTCACCTGCCAATGAGGATGGAGAGGTAACTCTCTTTGGGGGAGTCCGGTGGGGAAGAGGGGTGTATGTCCAGAGGGAGCCACAGCCATTCCTCCCGGAGAGACAGAAGCTCCTTGGAACATGGGGTCCTTCAATGACAGTGAAAGGAACATAACGTGGAAGAGAGGGGGGTCTGCTCTTCGGATGTTCGTAGGCTAAGTGAGCAGAAAGCTCTGGGGATCAGTGCAGCCCTGGTGTGAGCACTTTGAACTGCAGGACTCACTGGGTGAACTTCTCTGGCTAGTGTTATGTAGGAGGTCAGACTAGCTCTCAGTGGTCCCTTCTTGACCTTAATCTCCATAGGTCTGGGAAGAGAAAAACTGTTTTGCATTTTCAGGGCTGCTTTGCAGGGCTCTCGGTCCAGGGCGAGGACCCGTTGCTCAGGTGGAAGGAAGCAGCAAGCTAGCTAATGAGTTCTTTTGTGTTGTTAAGTGCAGGGGAGCTGCGGGAGCAGAGTGTGTACCTGCTAAAAGTGTCCCACTGTTCAGTTACACGGATGCCCTGGGGGGCTTGCTGGCTGAACGCCCTCATTCTGGGCACCTCGAGGTTACATTTTAGTCCAAAAGCTGAATTACTGAAGGCTTCTTTTTACAGCGCCCATTTCAAAAATCCTAACCAACGCAATAGTCACATCTTTAAAAGAGCATTAAGGGGTGGGGAAGGATCCCAAAACAGACTCTCTCCAAACAGAGAAATTCCCTCCTTCCTGTGCTCTGGTTGCTTTTAACAGGGAGTGTAGCTGGTGGAAAGTGATTGATTGACAGCCCTGGGCAGTGGACAGGTACAGCCTGGGCAGTAGCAGGGCAGGTGCCCCCTGCCAGTGTGCTGTGACCTGGAAGGATCAACTCTGGGGTGGGGAGTTCATTTAGTCTCTATGACCCATTTGAATTAAATACTAATACAGGAGGGGGACGGCCCTGCACCGACATGGTGTTGGACGAGATGGGGCCTAGCGGGGCTCTTCCCTTTCTCACCTCTGCGGTGGGAGTTCTTGGCCCCTCTGCCCACCAGCAGTGCCAACCACTCCCCGCTTGCGATGTTCTTTGTATCAGCAGTGTGGATACCTGCCCGCTAAGAACAGGGCTGAGGCCAGGGGCGGCTCTATGTATTTTGCCGCCCCAAGCACGGCAGTCAGGCAGCCTTCGGCGGCACGCCTCCGGGAAGTCCGCTGGTAATGCAGATTTGGCGGCATGCCTGCGGGAGGTCCGCCGGTCCCGTGCCTTCGGCGTACCCGCCGCCGAATTGCCGCCGAAACGGCGGGACCGGCGGACCTCCCTCAGGCATGCCGCCGAAGGCAGCCTGACTGCTGCCCTCACGGCGACCGGCAGGCCGCCCCCCGCGGCTTGCCGCCCCAGGCACACGCTTGGTGCGCTGGCGCCTGGAGCCACCCCTGGCTGAGGCTCCCAACTCACTTCACACAGGCCACCAGTCAGCTAATAGTAACAGCTTTCAGTCACTACCTATCTGGGTGTATTGGAACCTGTAGCATAGGGAGGAAAGGCTCCTCATCTCAAGTCTAATCCCCTGAGCCGGCCCATGCCATGTCTGGCGCTCACTGTTAGGTGTGAAAAGTGTCCTGCCTACTCCAGCACTTCGGTGCCAAAGTAACCAGTAATTTTGAGTGCCTTAATTTTCGGGGGTGCAGCTTGAAATGCTTTAAAGGGGCCCAGGTTTCAGAAAGTGCCTGGAGCACACCCTTTGAAAATCAGGCCCCTTTAAGGCACTAGCAGTTCGGGGTCCAAAAACTGAAGCATCCAAAGTCACTAATCACATCAGAATATCTTGGCCAGGGCCTATTAGGGAGGGCACCCCAGGGTTTGGAGTAGGTGGGATACTCCCAAAATGCCTAGGCGTTCGGGGCCTGGTAGTATTGGCTAAGTGTGTTACAATCTATACCTTCCTTTAAAGAGCAAGGCTAAAGCTGGCTAAAGCCAAGGCTTAGAAGTTGGGGGATCTGCATTCTGCCACGAACTCTTGGTGTGTCCTTGGGCAAGCTCATCTAAGACACATCTGGGACTGAGGTGACCAACGTTCACTGACTTTAAATGGGACCCAAGCACCTAGTTGCCCTTTTGTGCCTTTGAAAATCTCCCCCTGAATCTCTCTCTGCCTCACTTTCCTCCTTGGTAGACTGGGGCTGTTAATGCTCACCTGCCTCAGAGGGTCTGTGGGCAGGGTTAACTCATTCCACTGCACAGCACCACTGGGGAACCTCGCAGGGAAGGGGAAGTGGTTAATGGGATTAAACAGTAGGACTCCAAGATTCCAGGCTACTTCTCCCTGGGGGTGTCTGCAAGCCCCACCCAGACATCAGCTGCAGCTCAAATAACCCCTCTTGTCAAAGGCCTCTGGAATTTCCCTTTTCCCTTGAACTAAAAGAGGATTTTTTTAAAAATAAGTCATTCCTGCATGCAATAAAAGGATACACTGTCTGCTGAATGAAATATAGAGTTCACAGCAACTGTCTCTTGAGTTTGCATTTACCGCCACTCCCGATTGGAAGGCAAGATAAAGATAATGGGATTTTTACCTCCCTCCCGCGCTCTGGAAAGTGGAAGTGTAACAAATTGGATTGGAGTGTGTCTCTCCTCTGTGCCAGTGCTGTGAGGAGTGCGCTGATCTGATGGGAGAGGGAACGGGGAGCAGCGGTTGAGGAGAAAGCTAACAATCTTCACTTAGTGCTGTGAATATGAATGCAGGGGTCACCTTTATCTCCTTCCTGTCCTCCCCACATCGACCACTTCCCTTCCAATGCTGGGAGTGACCAAGCCTGTTAGTGCTAGCAGAGAGGGAAAGGGTATTTAAGGAACAGCTGGGTAAACTGTGAGATGTTAGTTACTAACGGGTGTCTTTACTCAGACTAAACTCCCACTAAAGTCAGTCGGCCAAATTCTGGAGTCCCTTCTCAGCCCTGCCCCAGATGCCTGCTGAAGTCCATGGCGCTTGGCCAGAGAAAAAAAATCAAGAAATCCTGAGGAAGGGCTTCAGGATTCAAACCTTCAGTGGATTTTCACCCATGGACATGAATGGCTCTTGTGTGGCTTGAAACATTCCCCTGCGGAGTTCCCAACCCAAACGCAGCCCATTGGGCTAGCCTGGGAGAAAAAGAATGAAACTGATGAGAAACAAATGTAAAATCAATGGGCCTGATTAAAGGGGCCTTAAAGTGGGTGGAAATGAGAAGACCTCCTGCACAGGGCACTCCCTGAGCAGTGTGGAGCTGGTGTCACGGCTCTACATTAGCCCTGCTGCCAGTCCCCAGGAGATGGGGGGGAATCTGAGAGGGTGACTGGAGTGCACTGCACTATGGCTATTCTCTGGCCCCCTGGGGCCCGTCGGAAGCAGAGCGTGAGTTAGATCAACCCTGCACAGCCCTAGAATACCGGGAGGGCAAAGATAGACAAAAGCCACATTTGCCCTCCGTTCCCGATCCAACCACAAAACTGCGAATCAGGCCTGTCTCTCTACTGACCTAGCTATGTAGGAGCGTATATGGCACGGAACGATTGCAGTGTCACTGACCAGGGAAGCTGCTTTTGTTTGGGGGGGGAGGGGAATTAGACACAGGAGCAGGCAGTGCTGGCGAGGATAAGGGATCCAATGAGGAAAGGCCCAGGAGACATTGACAAAGTGGCCGTGGAATGCGGCCGCCAGCTGTTACACTCTATGGGACACTCTGTAATAGAAAGAGCTCCTTCCGGATGCTCCTCCCCTCCCAATGCTCCAGTCCCTGCACCACCTGGGTCTAGAACACCTGGGCTCCTTTGCAGGTGTGGCTAGGAACAAAGGGCCGTGCTGTGACAATACTGTGATCCCATGGAGTTGGGATAAATCCTGGCCAATCTGGGGTCATCCCTAACCATGGGGTAACTGTTACTGACCAGCCAACTGCAACATCCTTGAGAGAGCTCTGTTCTCAGTGACATCTAGCAATAAACACTCAGCACCTGATCTTCTGCTCATTAAAATGAATAGTAAAAGCAAGGGTCAGTTTTCTGAGTAAAGTAAATAATTTCTCATTTAATTATGGGATGAGAAAATTGCTGAAACCAAAAGAAATTTGCAACAATTCTTGACTTTTTACATTAGAAGCCGTAAAGAGAGTTGGCAGGTGATGTTTCCACATTCAGAGGTTCATTTTAATTAACTCAAGGACATGCATATGGTTTATGATGATTGGGGTCGTGGTTAAGCTGTATTTGGCAGTGATCACGATGGTTGAACCATGGGTGGTTCTTTTTGCCTTTGGTTAAACCAAAGTTGTCTATGGCTAACCCATGGTTGGCTGTAGTTTCTCCCAATTAAACTACCGTTTGACATCTTTGGTCACATCTATGGTACTATTGGCTATTCCCACACGTGGTTAGCCCAAGGGCAAATAAGTCAAGACTTCAATCTGGGGGAAACTGGGGCTGTCCCGTTCAGATGGAGGTATGTATCAACCCTAGTTTCAATACAAGATTCTCCCAAAGGCAGCCACCAGTCAGCAGAATGTAGAGACAATCACCAGCACCACATACTCATTCAAGCACTTGGCATTTAGCTACCATGCTGATAGGCATTAGATTAGATGTCTACTGTAGCTGGTGAGAAACGGGATCCCTATGCATTTGCATATGGCTGGGTAGGGTTGTGTTGGAGGAGGCAGGGTCTTATAACGGGCAGGGCGTGGGATTGGAAGGCAAGAGGCTTGGGTTCTGTCTCCAGCTTTGTCCCTGGCTGGCTGTGCGCTGCAGTCTCCTTGTCTGTAAAAGAGTGTCAGTGGGCCTCACCCTCCCTACAGGCAGCGCTTGGAGATCTGTGGGTGAAAAGTGCCGTACAAGCACCAAGTACTAGTATTGCTTGAGCCCAGCGGTCCACTTGGTGCTGTGCAAATCACTAAGGACAGCACCGGCCGCACCCAAGGAGCTGTCACTCTATGGCTCAGATCTTCAGCTGACATCAATCAGCTACACCTTGCAACCCAAAAAGGCCATGGCCCTACGACCAGACTCAGAGGCCTGTGAGCAACAGCTACATTGTATGATCCCAACGGCTGAGCTCGTAGGAGCTCTTCTGTGCTCATCTCAGCCAGGAGTTAGACTTCGGGTGCGTGTGTGTGTGTGTGATGAATGGTGGTGGGATATGTGTGTTTTTATCCCGAGCAAGCAAACCCATTCAGATAATGTAAGAACTGACTCAGAACTTTGCCATGTAGCTTATGCTTTTGGGTACTTGTCTGAATCATCTCCCTGAATCTTTGAAGGATCACCTGTCCCCTGGTTTGCAGGGGTATACGTGACATGGGCATGTATATGGAGTGTGCCTTTTTCCGTGTGTGTGTGTGTATGTGGGAAGGTCTTGTGTGCGTCTCTGTGCACTGTGTGTATCTTTGGATCACCTGACAGGTGTTTGTGGGCCGGTGTTGTCATGCTTGATGGTACGTGGTCTCCATGTTACATGTGTAAGGTGTATGCTGAGCTGCCTCCTTCTCCCTGAGACTCGGCAGAGCAGAGTGAAATGTGCCCTTTCTCCCCGCAGAGTGGCGGCAGGTGAGTGGGGCCCGGATGATCCTGCAGGACGAAGACATCACCACCAAGATAGAGAACGACTGGAAGAGACTCAATACCTTGGCACACTACCAGGTAACGAGACAGGAGCCCTCGGCCAGGGACACAGGCCTGGCCAAGTTACCTGCCTCTGCTAGCAGGGTTCAGTGCCAATCAAACAACTGGACTGGCACTGCCAAGCCCTGTCACTCTCTGCCCCAACCCATCTACCCCTTCTTCAAAGGCCACCGACAGAGCTCACCCCAGAGACTGTCGCTGTTGCACCATCTGGTCTCCTAACACAGTCGCTTTGCACCTCCTAACACAGTCGCTTTGCACCTTCTCTCTTTCTCCACAGGAGTGTTACACTGCTGCTCTCATCATCTGAGCTGCTGCTCCCCTGCCAGCCCTGTCTGAGATCTGGGGCTGGAACAAGCAAAGAGCAATCCCAGGCAATGACGCTCTGTAAATAAGTTCTGTCGTTTCCCCCTTTCCCCCCGCAAAGTGTCAGACTGTTTCACTACAACACAAACAGGAGACACTTGGAGCTAGAAAACAGGATACGATGTTTCAAGCTGAACTGAGTAGCAGCTGCCCTGAATGGCTTTTAAAAATGAATAATATAAACGTTCAATAAAAACGGTTTCTGCTGTTATATTATGTCAGATGAGAACATGCTTTGACGTGATATGACATCATATTCTGCACTATTACTGATGGGCCTTGAAATAATGTAAAAACAATGCTACTAATGTTAAAATAAACTACATTTTGAAACACAATTTTTGTTTCTGAAATGAAATTTCAAAATTTTCCTAAACAATTTTGCTTCTGTTGCCAAAATACTTGTTTTTGTGGAAAATGTCATCAGAATCGATGCAGTTTCACACCAAAAATCAGTTTAGTTGAATCAGCATTTTCCAGCAAAAAACTGTTCAGACAAAAATTTGATGGCCAGCTCTAACACCGACCTCCCACGATTCTCCTTCTAGTGAGGATTTCCCCCTGCCTGCTCTGCCCTGTGCGATAGGCGGGGAAGAGGGCAGATCAACAGTAGGAAGGGGAATAAGAGAAGGGAAAACCACTCTGCTTTAAGGGATGGAGATTGACAGCTACTCAGCTGCCAGTCACTGGGAAGGAAGGGGCCCTGTATCTCTCCCCAGGCCACTAGTGCTGGCATTGTCCATACCGATATCAGTCCAGTGAGGCCTAATAAAAACCCTCCTGCAAACTATTTGAGGTGGGGCTAGAGGAAGAGATAAGCTGCCGCCCTCTTAAAGGGGAGGCTTTACTGAAGGCCCCCCACTGGCAGTAGATGAGATGTCAGGCTGCGGCTGGTGATCAGCACAGAGGAGGGGGCAGGGGAAGGCGAGCAGATTAGAAATAGACGGGGAGCGGAGATGAGAAGATCACAGGTTAATTCTCTCCTTCTGCTGGGGAGGGAGAATGACGCATTTGCCCCTGGAGGGCAAGGCCACTGCGCTCTGGAGGATCTTTGACATTAGCAGCAGTAGAAGTTGGCCTGTTGTCTGGAAGCAGGAGGGAGAGCAGTGGAACAGACAGCAGCTTTGTCCAGTGGTGAGGGCGCTGACCAGATCCTGGTTCTAGTCCCAGCTCAGCCACTTTGTCCCCATAGGGGGTGTCATATCCCTGAGTGGATAATGATACTAACCAGTGGGGACAGCTGTCCTTACCTACTGCTGCAAAGTGCTTTGAGATCTACGGCTGGTCAATGCTATAGGCCAGATCCTCAGCTGGTGTAAACCACTGTAGCTCCACTGGAGTCAGTAGAGCCACACCAGTTTACACTTGCTAAGGATCTGACACTAAGTACAGGGCTGGGAGCTCCTGAGTTCTAAGACTGGCACTGGCTCCCTGGGCATGTCACGTGGGACCAGGTTGCCTAAAGTTAGGTGTTAGGTGCCTAAAGCTGTAGATAGGTGCCGAGTGGGATTTTGAAACGCACCTAACTCCTGTTCCTAGATTGTCAAATCAGAAGGGCCCGTTGTGATCACCTAGTGCAATCCCCCGTAGAACCCAAGCCAGAGAGCTTCCCTTGTTTGAGTCAGAGTAGAGCTTTTAGAAAAAAGCATCCAGTCTTGATTTGAAAATGGCCTGTGACGGAGAATCCACCGCAGCCTCAGGACTGTTGTTCCAATGGTTAACCACCCTCCCTGTTAAACATCCGATGTCAGGGAGAGTTTGGTACCGACACGCTCTGGAAAATCCCACTAGGGGTCTAGCTGCGTCCTTAGGTGCCTAAATACATTTACAAACCTGACCCTTAACCTCTTAGTGCCCCATCTGTAATATGTGGCTAATAGCCCAGAGACCTTACGCAAGTGTTGAGAGAGCTGATTAATTAGTATCTGTAAAGTGCTTTGAAGATGAAAAGATTCTGCGTAAGAGCTAATTATTATTATTACAGAGACAAGAGCTAGTGGCTCTTCACAGGTTTGTGGTGTGGGGGGGGAGGTTTCTTCTTTTTATAACTTATTTATCCAAGATGCTCTTGATACAGCTTCGCTTCCCCACTGGCTCAGAATTGCTTATTGTTTCACTTGCTTTTGAAAGGAAGCCACACAAATGCCTAGCTAATGGATCGGAAGGTTTGTCTCATTTCAAGAGGCTCTCTCCCCCTTTGAGATGTTATGTGAGACTTCCTGCAGCACAACAGATATCCAGCCGCCATCTACAGGGGCAGAACAATAGAAACACCATTTTCCTCCTCTGTTGCAGTAGTGGCAATGCCCTACTGGTGTGGCAAAGTCCTGTGCCGTATCAGGAGTCTGTGCATGTCTGCTCTGATGCCAGGAGGTCGTTTGTCACCTTGTATGTGAAATGCCCATTCCCATGAAGTGATGTCTAGGGGGAAGAGTACTGACACGTGTCATGCCCAACTCATTTGCTGTGAGACCTTGGAGGAGCAACTTAATTTCAGTCTGTGAGGGGCACTACAAGGAACTGGGTCCCAGCCGTTCCCCTAGGTCTCAGAATTTGGCCTCCCCAGTGAATTTACTGTCTCTGTTAACATCAGCTTCTCTTTGAGTGTTGAGTTCTTTTTCCATGGAGATGGCCTGAATCAGAAGCTCAGATCCAACCTCCTGAAAACTTGGAAGGATTTGAATTCCCAGATCCTAACCCATCACTGGTTCTGGTTTGGATCCATCACTGGAGGGGGCCTGTTTTCCAGGCCCCACATAGATGAGGCTGAAATCAGCTTCCAGCCAAAAATGATGGAGAACTTGTAAGATCATCTAATCTCATTAAACTCCCACTAGTGGGGGTGAAACCTTGTGAGAACAGCTGATGAGATTTTGGGACCATCAGCTCTGAACCTCAGAACCTGATGTGTCTTGATCTTAAACCCCAAGCTCTAGCCAAACCCTATTTCAGACTCTTCAGACCATCTCTCATTATAAGAGCTTGTGTCATGGACCTTTTGAATGTCACGCTTTTGTTCTATGGACTATTGAACAATTAGAAGAATTGGCACTTCCCCACTTTTAAAAGATAAGCCTGTTGCAGTCTCCTGTCCATTATAAAAACAATCATGTGGGTATGGATCTCACGCTGGGCACTTTACAGACATGTACAAAGACAAGGCCCTTGAGCGAATTCCATGTCCTTTTCCTACAAACCCTTCCTCATGGGAGTAGCCCATTAAGGGCCTGCTCCAAAGTCAATTGCAGTCAATGGAAGGACTCCCATTGACTACAGTGGGCTCTGGGTCAGTCCCTATATGGGCCAGATTCTGCCTTCATACCAAGTAGGCCCATTGACTTGAGCAGAGTGATTCCAGATTTGCACTGGAGGGCAAGAGGGGGAGAACAGGGTTTGGCCCCACTCCTGCGAGGAAGGGTTTGCAGGGGTGGGCCATAAGTAACTAATGATGGGATCCTTCCAGCAGGGATAGTGATTGATCGCTCGGGTTTCACTGGCTGGGTTTCCTTTATGTTATCGGGTGCGCTTTTTGGCCAGCTCTAGGAGGCTTATTCGTAAGTTCTCTTTCCTCCGCAGGTGCCAGATGGATCGGTGGTAGCATTAGTCTCCAAGCAGGTCACTGCCTACAATGCTGTCAACAACTCCACTGTCTCCAGGACCTCAGCTAGCAAGTACGGTAAGGGCCTGTTTGCTGATGTATGTTAGGGGAGATATTGGTGGCCACGACGGTGGGGAGATGTTGAGCACGTGCAAAGGGAACAGCATGCCACAGCCAACTAGCCTTTGTACAGCAAGTGAAGATGAAAAGCACTGGACAATCCAAGAGCTACGTTATTCTAATTAATGGTGTCTATGGAAGATCACTCTTTTATCCATGTGACTTTGGCCTGGGTGAGCTTACACCTGGAACAGTAAACGTTAGCACTTCTCTAGCACGTTAGCTCTCCAAGCACTTTACTGAGCAGCCCAGGTTCCATTATTACCATTTAACACATGGGGAGACTGAGGTTAGGTGACGTGAGAGATAAAGTGGGTCACACGGAAATTCTGCTGCAAAGCCCGGAATAGAACTTAGCTTTCCTGAGTCACCAAGACCAGCTCCTGTCTCCTTCCCAACCGGCCACTGATGCACCCACGTGCGTAGCTGCCTGTTGGTTGGACTTCTGGCCCAAGAAGTGCAGCAGCAGGTGAGGGTTAAAGGGAAATGAGTTTCCAGACTGCAACAGGAGAGTGATACAAACCATCCACTGCCCTGGATCCAGCTGCCTCATCCAATTTTTTAAATATATGAAAGTAAGTCTGATCCTCCTCATCCTCTGTAGCTTGGGGGAGAGTACAGTTACTCAATGTCCAGAGGAACTCGCTTCCCCTTACTCCAAGGACATGAGCAATGCACCAGGCCTTATTAATATTCATGTTCTTTGCAGCGTTGTTGCCGTTCTGGAAGGACACCGTGACCTTTGCAAAGAAGAGGTTTTGGGTGGTTTCATTATTGTTATATTTCCTGAGTTCTGTGCTACCGGATTTTTAGAAGAGGGGCTGAGGGAGGAGTGGGGGGAAACGTGGTGAGTCAGAAGTGATTGTTAATTGCAGTAAAGGGAGCAGCAGCCAGCGTGAACATGGGTACTCCATGCAGTAATTAATACAGGGAGGCCAGGAATGCATTAAGGAAGCTGCTTCAGAACCTGCTACTGGAAGGGGCACCATCTGTGTGTTAACTACAGTTGAAATACAGTTAACTTGTAGCACTGCTGGAGGGCCAGGGGGGTTGCCGAGGCTGTCACCCCGGGCCTGTGGAAAGGGAAGTAGTAACGCTTGTGGAGGAAAAATTTCCACAACACACTGGAGGTGGCTTTCGATGGGGCGTCACGCCATCCACATGGGCAGGTTTGGGGACCCGGGGTGCAATGAGCTGAGCGGCCCCCTTTGGAGGAGGGAGTGACACAGTGGTGGGTAGTGAGTGGGGTGGACTGGGGGAAGTAGGGAGCAAACGGCTGGGGGGGAGAGGTGTACCAAGCCTAACACCAAGGTGTACCAAGCCTAACAAGCCTAACACACACCCATAGACAAGCCCATGGATTGTGAAGCTCTTTGGGCCTCGCCCAGATGGCTGTTCAGCATCTGCAACTTCTGCAGGAGCCAGTGAGAGTTGTGGGTTCTCGGGCTCCTGCTCTGATTACACACAAAGGAACCCGTTTCCAGGAGTGGCTGCCTGCCCTCAATCACAGCAGTAACGTGTGCACATCGCCAGTGCTGGACCATCCCCTTTTCTAAACGTACTAGTGTCTTGTCCAGCCTGGCCGTCGTTGTGCGGCGGCATGAGGCTCCCATCCTTTCCCCCGGGAGATGCTTTCCCGGGCTAACTGAACTCATTGTAGGATAGTTTTTCCGTGTATCTGCTCAGTCGCCTAGGAACGTCTAGATGTGTGCGAATGTTGCAGGTGCAGCTAAGGCAGCGTGGGAAATTTGGTAGTGGATTTCCATTTTTAAAGCAGACACGACTGCAGAGTATTTCCCTGGGAAAACACATTGACCCCCTGAATGTGACCACCTCTTCTTGAAGGTGGAGGACTGATTCTTGAGCAAGCTGTGGCTTTGTGTTCCAGAAAACATGATCCGTTACACGGGCAGCCCAGACAGCCTGCGCTCCCGCACACCCATGATCACACCTGACCTGGAGAGTGGAGTCAAGATGTGGCATCTAGTCAAGAATCATGAGCACGGAGACCAAAAAGAGGGTGACCGGGGCAGCAAGATGGTGTCCGAGATCTACCTGACCAGGCTGCTAGCCACCAAGGTATAATGCTGGAGAAGGGCAGTGGGACTTTGAAGAAGTGGGCTTCAGAGGGGTTCAAGGAGGAGATGGGACTCTTCATGGGCAAGAGAGGAGAGACTGTTCCCAGTGTAAGGGGAAGCATGAGACAAGGTGTGAAGCCAGGGGAGGGTAAAGGGAGAAGCTTGGGAAGTATGTGGGGAGAGCACAGTAGAAAGTGAGAAGAGCTTGAATTTAGGAGCCAGTCAGTGGAGGAGTCCAGAAGGCGGGGAGATAACAAGTGCAGAGCAACGAGAGAGGAAGTTGGCTCTGGGAGCAATGGTTTGGGTCGGCTGGATTGGAGGAGAGGTGAGAAGAGGGGAGACCAGGAAGAAGCAGGTTACAATAGTCAAGGTGGGAGGCGATGAGGGCGCGGACAACGGGTTAGTGAGGAAAGGGTGGCTTCTGGTGATATGAACGAAGGGTTTAGTGAGAGACTGGGGAGGGAGAGGGAGCAGCCAGAGGCAGCAGCGAGGCTGTGAGCCTGGACGAGGGAGGAAAGGTGGCATTACCAACAGTGGCTTCCTGCACGGGGATCCCTGTGTGTGCAGAATTATGTGGGCAGGAGCAGATTGGTTTGAGGATATACCCTGAATTGTTTGTAGAGCCGACCACATGTGATTCAAGAGGTCAAGGGGAGCCTAGGGAGCACGTCCTGGACATGTTCAAAGGACAAAGCCAGCCTGGCAAAATGGGACTGTGAGTTATGCCACAAATCTGTAGGGAACGTTACTCACTGTCCCACCCCATCCCTCTGGCCCACGCGGACACCGGGCTGTCTCACCAGTGGTGCTTGTACTGGAGGGCGTACCAGCCAGCTAGATGCTTCATCATGCATCGTGGAGGGGCAGCTCAGCGGGATGAGCTGAGACAAACACGCTCACCTCTCCGCAGGTTAGGTTACGTCACTCACTCACAGAGAGCTGGGGGAGCCATTTTGCCTGATGCATGGACAAAGGAGGGAGCGAAGCGCTCAGTGGAGCATGCTGGCTTGACAGGGGGAACAGCAGGCATCTGCCTGGGCTGACGGGCTGCGGGGAGCACATTGGTCCTTGGCAGCGAGCACTCACTCTCTCGTCCCGCGCAGCCCTGCATGGCAGATGATTGCCTGACAGATCTAGAACTTTTGTCCCATAAACGCTAAACTTCTGCACGGCCCCACCTCAATGTCACGCGGTGCTGGCACCTAGTTATTGACCCGGAATTGATTTTGCTGACACCTCAAATGCTGCTGGCAGCGCAGCAGGCAGGGCTGCAAGGGGATGCTGCATTTGGGGACGGAAACAGCCACTACAGGGTGCTCGAATCCAGGTCAGGTTCTCAGTCCTTATCTTCAAGGCGCACCGTAGCCTGGGCCCAGGGTATCTAAAGAGCCTAAAGCCCTGGAGTGAAAACCATAATTGACAGCTCCACTCCCGTGGTCCAGCAGAACTCTCCACCACCAGGGTCAGGTTCCTCTGTGCAGGAGACAGAGCTTTCTGGGGCTGGTCCCAGACTGCGCAGTGAACTCCCCCAAGAACTAAGGATGATCCCAAACCTCCCCACCTTCTGCTCCCCATGCAGAGCGTGCTGCTTTGGTCTGCCTCCTCTGACCCCAATACAGCGACCAGGTATGGGTATAAAACAAACCCTAGCATTCTGCTAGGCATACTGTGGAGAGGAGGAGAGAACAAACCACGTGACCAATGTTCGTCACATTGCGTAATGCATGACCAGAAGGCCCTCGGATACTGCAGTGATGGGAGCGGAATAAGAACCTATAGACTAGAACATGGGAGGACAGGCTGGCTCAGGGGATCAGCAGAGGGCCACACAGCCTTTCGCCACCTCATTGCTGGTGGGAATCTGTGGCCAATAGTCATTAACGTCTGGTGGCTGTTCAGGGGCCTCGGCAAAAGGAGTTGGCTGCGTTTAAGTCTTGTTACGAGTACAAAGATCCCTAGCAGAATCATAGACTCAGAACTCCAGGGTTAGAAGGGACCGCAAGGGACATCTAGTCTAATTCCCTGCCAAATGCAGGATTTGTTGGGTCTAAGCCATCCTAGACAGATGGCCACCCAGCCTCCTTTTGAAAACCTCCAGTGAAGGAGCTTCCACAACTTCCCTGGCAGTCTGTTCCATTGGCCGACTGTTCTTACACTTAGGAAGTGTTTCCTGAGATTTAATCTAAATCTGCTCTGCTGGAGTTTGAACCTGTTGCCTCTTGTCCTGCCCTCTGTGGCAAGAGAGAACAATTTTTCTCCATCTTTTTTGGCAGCCTTTCAAGCATTTGAAGACTGCGATCATGTCCCTCCTTAATCTCCCCTTTTCCAAACTAAACATGCCCAGGTCCTCCAGCCTTTGCTCATATGACTTGCATTCCATCCCTTTGATCATCTTTGTCGCTCGCCTCTGGATGCTTTCCAGTTTCTCCACGTGCTTTCTATACATTGGTGACCAAAACTGGACACAGTACTCCAGCTGAGGCCTCACCAGCGCTGAGTAAAACGGTACTATCACCTCCTGTGACTTGCATGCTATGCCTCTGTTAATGCAACCCAAGACTGCATATGCTTTTCTTGCAGCAGCATCGCGTAGCTGACTCATGTTGAGGTTGGGATCCACCACAACTCCCAGATCCTTTCCAGCAGTGCTGCTACCAAGCCAGTTATCCCCCATTCTGTATTCTCCCCTTGTTGGCAGTCTCATTAGAGAGGCCAAGGATGGGGTTTGGACTCCTTCTCTCCTTCCCCGGGTCAGGGCTGGGCAATTGCAGCACTGCTGGGCATGCTCTTCTCTGGCCCCAGGAGTCTGCCCACCAGCCTGGGGATAAGGGATATGAAGAGGGCCAGTCTTAGCACAGCTCACACAAGGAACTGTCAGAGGGTGAGGCTCAGCTGGCACATCTTCCACATCCTGCAGCGGGAACCTCTGGCACCGGCACGTCACTCCCTCCTGGGGCAGCCCCATCAGCAGTAGCAGTGGTGGAAGCTGCTGTGTAGACAAGGCTCAGGCGTTTATAACCATCACGTTATCTAACCCGATTCTGAGCAGAGCTGGACAATACAGTGGCAAGACAGCCTGAGGTCTTTCTACTCGGTAGCGTCCACCATCGCGCCGACCTGTGGAGATGCAGTGGTGGCGAATTCATCTGCACAGCCATAGGTGCACACACACACACACAAACACACACACACAGTCTGAGTCTGTCCACTGGACGGGGACTCCGTCAACACATAAGTCCTGCTCTGGTGTTTCATCTGTGTGCTCAGTCCCCTGGTGGGACAGCCTTTGGTGTCTGACCCCCGGCAACTGAATAATAAATCCTAATCAGGTTATTCTTCTGTCGATGGACACAGAGTATGCAATTGCTCTGTCTGTCTTTGAATGTGCCCATCCCCATAGCATCTAGGGGCCACCAACGTAAAAATAAAGGGGCACCCCCATGGGGCGAGATCCCCAGCTGATCAACAGTCATTGGAGCAAGGCTGATTTACACCTGCTGGGTATCTGGCCGCCACTGAACATACTTGGTGTTCAGCTCAGATACTGGTGGACCACAACCAGAACTCCAGATTCTGCCCGTCCCGTCTGCCCTCTCTTGGGAGCCAGGCCGGGAGCCAGCTGGGAATTTGACACAGCGACAAAGAAAACCAGAAAGGCTATTCCCACGCCCACCCCGGCGCTTGGTATAAGAGAAATTGCCTCTCCCCATCTTGCCCCTCTCAGAGAGAGGGAAGAGCATGCAATTGCTGCTGACACAGTCCTGGGGAATACCTCGTTAAACTGAGAATGGTTTTTACCCTGCTAAGTCCCTAACCTCTGAGAACTGGAATCTTTTGCCTAAAAGCCTTGGAGGGTTTCTTTGCATTTGGCTGGGCAAGTGAGAGAAGCAATTCCCCCTGGAAACTGATCCTGAGGGCTGCTCCTCTGTGTCAGATTTCGCCTCGGGGCCCTCCCCATGCTCAGACATGTGCTGCAGGGTTTTGTTCCGTTTTTCAGGATCTCTCTCTCTCTCGCTCTCTCTCTGTTTGTTTCTCAAAGAATAAATCAAACGGGGAATCAGCAAGGGACATCAGCCTGCTAATTAAGCTTTGGTGCGTTTGTTCGTGCTGTGTAAACTCTACCCACCCTGGTGGGACTTGGCACTCCACTTCCAGCGAGGGGAATCTTGTCGTGCATCTGCAGAGACAGGAGGAACTTTTCCATTGCAGGGAATTTGTCACTTTGATCTGGTTAAGCAGTTACAGTTATTAACGTGTTGTAGGTGGCGATTTCCCAGCTCTGCCGAAAGAGGAGTGCTGGGAACACGGCTGGAGCGCGTACACAACCACCTTTGCCAGTTGCATCTCAATCCTGGTCTGCAGCTCACCTTGCCATTCCAGTCCGGTGGCAGCCTGGTCCTTCTGACCCGCCCTGCCCTCGGATTTGCACTGCCAAGCCTGCACCCCCTCAGCATGCACCAGCTTGGTCACTGCACCTCAGTTGTGACCTACCTGAGCCTCTGTTCCACTCCCAGGCCCCCAACACCACTTCCCTCATCGCACCCCCAGTCCTGACCCACCTGACCTCCAGCACCCACTGCCCCTGCTATCAATGCACCTCCGTTGTGATCTCTGTCACCCCTCCTATCCCAGACCTGGGCACCACACCTGGCTTCTGCCTGCACACCAATCCTGACCTGCATTACTCTTTGCTGTTTCACTTGCGAGCAGAGATGGAATTCATAGGAAGGGTGGGGTGTGGTTTTATGGTGTTCATCACTCCTGGCGAGGACCCTGGGCCATGGAAGATGCTAGGTGTGTTAAGTACATGTACCCACTCAACCCCCAGACCCCTCACGTTCAGATTGTCCCGTTAGGTGTTCTGTTCTTGCTGATCAGGCAGTGATCACGGTGGTTTCTAAGCATGGTGATCTGGGATCTCTCCTATGGGAGCGGGAGGAAACCTCATCAAGCTCTACACTAGCATATATCGAAGTCAGGTTCCACTTATGCACTGCATGATGGATGCTCTTTCAGGACCTACTCTCAGTGCAAAATCCCATTGGGAGCAGGATCAGTCACTTGTTGCTCAGTGCACAGGTCGGGCTTCTCTCGCATGCAAAATGCTCACCTCTCCCATCCCCACAACACACTGGAGCAGGTTGACTTCACTGGACTATCACCAGTGTACACCTGCGGAAGATCCGACCCCAAACCTGAACTCTCCCAATCCCTTTTGCGATATGCAATGTTCCTGATGCTGTTCACAAATCCCTCGGCATTCTGTGACCTGGGGGCCAACAGAGGTCCCCATTTAACAACACAGGAGAGCAAACCCTTCCCTTTCTCCGCTGAGTGTTCCCCCCCACGGCACCTCAGCCCTCACCCAGAGGGACAAGCTCTGAGGAGAGAGAGGTAGGCAGCTTACCTGGCCTGTTCAGTCCATGGCTGCTTGCTGAGGCTGCTCTCCGAGTCCAAGGCCGAGGGGGATCCCAGTGATACGTGTTCCTGGCTCCAGCTTAATTCCCACTGCACAGCTGTCAGATGGCAGCAGCTCTCAGTCGCTACTTCCAGGGCTGAACCCGGGAGCTCCAGGGAACAGTCTAGTAGCACTCCTCTGAGCCAACCTGGCAACCCACCCGGCTGATGTGTCTCACTGAAATTCCCCAGGGAGGACATCAGAGCCCCAGGTCAGTGTCTCACCCTCTTCTTCCTCCTCCCCTGACCCCGCAGGGCACTTTGCAGAAGTTTGTCGACGACCTCTTTGAGACGATCTTCAGCACGGCGCACCGCGGCAGCGCCCTGCCCCTGGCCATCAAGTACATGTTTGATTTCCTGGACGAGCAGGCAGACAAGCACAACATCCACGACCCCCACGTGCGGCACACCTGGAAGAGCAACTGGTCAGTATGATCCCTCCGGCGCAGCCCTGCTCCGGGTCCCAGGCGGAGGGGAAAGGGTTTGGGGTTCTGATGCTCAGGGAGGATGGGCTTGTGGGTTAGGCACTGGCACTGGCTGCAGGACACCTGGGTTCATCTCCCGGCTCTGCCACAGACTCCCGGTGTCATCTGGGGAAAATTACTTGGGGTGCGTCTCTACTGCACTCGGGGGGGGTGATTGTAGCCCCAGGAGACGTACCTGAGCTGGTGCGGGCTGTACAGCCGCCCAGGACCCTGGGTAATTACTCGTGTACCTAGCTCGTGTTGCCACAGCTTCATTGCTCTGGTACCGGAGTGAGCTGGATGGAAGCTAGCGCAGGTGTGTCTACTCAAACTGAGATCACGCCCTTTGATGACAGGACAAACACCCTTAGTCTCTGTGCCTCTGTGTCTCCCTCTGTGAAAGGGGTCACGGTAATTCCCAGGGGTGCTGTGGGGATAGAGCCATTAAGGGTCGTGAGATGCACAAATGGTGACCGGGCCACACGAGCACCAACTGAGGACAGAGCTAGGTAGAGCCTGACTCTGCTCCAACCGCGAGACAACGCTTCCCTCCCCACACTTGTTGCATGTACTGGAATAGAGACAGGGGGCTGAGATCTCGAGAGAGAAGGATCCCTGCTGCTTTTATCCTCTGAGTCTCCCTGTTGGAAAGAGTCCCCTGGGGACTCTTTCCCTCCCTTCTTCTGTGTAAATACGAGGGACTATAAAAGGCACAGCAGAGGAGAACCACAGGACTCCCAGCTGATGAGTTTTCTCCTTTTACCAGCCATGCTGACTGGCAGGTCGGCACCGTGCGTGAAATAAAAAAAGAAACCCCATGCATCAAAGAGGCTTTCAGCTAATGAAACATTAGCATATTATTAACATTATCTGTGGCGCTAATCTAAGGCTGATTGCAGCCACTCAGACTAAATGAGCAGGAGGTTTATTTAACGGGGGAAGGGTGGAGGAAGAAATGATCTCTTCTCAATCAGATTAAATTAACTCCAAGTCACTTCACAGGCCTCATCATTCCCAGCCAGCATTCCCCGCTACCTGTGGCTGGCTGGAGCTTAGCATCAGAGACATTAGAGATGCAAAAGACCTGTTTCAGGCCATCTTCCCCAGCTCCTCCTCCTGCCTGCTGCTATAGCAGGTGCTAGCACAGGCCCCTACTCTCCCAGCGCTTCCTCAGTTCGAGTTTCAAATATCTCCAGCAACTGGGCTTTGGGCACTTCCCTTGGGGAGACTGTCTCACTGGAGCCTAATGTGATTGTCCATTGGGACGCTTTTTTCTGACGTTCAGCCCACAAGTTTCTTTGCTCCAGAGGAGTCCGTGGGGAAGATCAGGTGGTGATGTAGCCAAGAAGGACGTATTAACACTGCCTGCTGGTATCTGGAGGGTGCAGACGCCAGTGGTAGAGGTGAATGGTTTAGGATGGTATTATGGAAACAGGACACCTAGAAGGAATGGGATGAAATTAAGGAAAGGAAAATGTAGGTTGGCTGTTAGGAAAAACCCACTGTTGTGAAGATCGGTTAGTGTGGAATAATCTCCCTCCAGGAAGTGATAGAAGCCCCAGCCCTGGAGACATTTGAAATTGGACTTGCTAAAACCCTGGAGATGGAGATCCAGTGGGTGGGCTCTGATAGCAAGGATTCATCTCCTAGTTATAAACACAGAGCGGTGCAATGCCCAGCCTGCTGGAATCGGGGGCTGGCCGAGGGTCCAGCTCTGCAGGATGGCACAGGGTGGTTACATGCCATTACGGTATCAACTGGTGCACAGAGTTATAGTTGTGAAGCTAAATCCCAACTCCCCAGTATTATATGTCCATGTCCACCCCAGGTATTGCTGAGACCGAAAAGCCAGACTCTGCTCCCCACTTACAAGCATTAATAATACTAAGGCTTTGCAGGTATATGACCTCTTCTGGCCACATAGGGTGGAGTGATTAGTAGTCAGGTCTCATCCCAACACCCTTGCGAGGCTGGTAAGTATTATCCCCATTTTACAGACATTAATAGGAACCACAGAGAGGGTAAGGGGCCAATTCTGCCAGCCCAACTAGTTCCATTGATTTCAATGGGGCTCCTTGCAGAGTAAGATGTTATTCAAGGTGAATAAAGGTGTCCGAATCTGGCCCTCTGTGAATGATCTAAGGATGCCCTGGACTAATGCCAATTCTGGAGTCAACTCCCTTGACTTGAGTAGAGTCCCATCAGGGATGAATTTGAGCCATTGCGTACCAGTTGCAGAGCCAGAAATCCTGCCTCCCAGTCACATGCGCCAATCCTGTTGTTATTGTAGTGTAGTGAGATCGCCTGTGAAACAACACCCTGACTGAACCATCTTCTTCCACCTCTGCCTTCCTCCCTGCAGTTTGCCACTACGGTTCTGGGTCAACATGATCAAAAACCCCCAGTTCGTATTCGACATCCACAAGAACAGCATCACAGATGCCTGCCTCTCGGTGGTGGCTCAGACCTTCATGGACTCCTGTTCAACCTCGGAGCACCGTCTGGGCAAAGACTCCCCTTCCAACAAGCTTCTGTATGCCAAGGACATCCCCAGCTACAAGAATTGGGTGGAAAGGTGAGTCCTACACTGAGAAGACGGGTTAGCATGAGCCAGAGCTGTACAATGTGGGCCTGCTCTGTCGGCAGAGGCTGCAGGCTAGCATCCCGTGTGCTGCCGCCGGTAACGGAGCTGCACTAGAAGGCTGCAGCGCTTGGCTATTTAATATGGTTTAAGACCCGATGGAAAGAACCATCTGGGCCATTTAGCTTGATATGCCTCACGCCAAAGATGGACAGGTCAGTGAGAGGAATACGCTGAGGTTGTGTTCAGATGTAATTTCTCTGGTGGAGAGACAGAGGGAGACGGATAGTGTGACTGATTGGGGTTGAGTCCAGCCACCCAGTCCGGGAAGGATGGCTCCGTGTTCTACGCATTGGGTTTGGACTCTCTACACACTGTAGAGCCAACAGTGCAAATCCTGCCTAAGCTGCCTTGTTTACCTTCTGAGGCTAATCGATTTCCATGCAGGTGACCAGGTGTTGGGTCCTTTGGATGAAACCCTGAAGAACAAAGGGACTGGCTACTTTGGAATTAAAGCTCTCCAGGCATTATCTGACAGAGCTGGGGTTTGCCCAAACACCCTAACCATAAACTCCCCCACCTGCATCCTCACTGCTATGCAGTGGACTAGACGCTCTCCCAGTTCCTATCTGCATGGTTCAGTCAGTGCTTTGTGGCCAGTTAATGTAAGATCTTTCTTTTCATCTTAATAATAAAGAGCTAGATCTTGTGGGACAAGCTCTGGCCAAGCGCCTATGGACTTCAGTAGGAGTTTGCTTGAGGACGCTTTGTAGAATTTAATGCATAGTTTGTTTTCCAATATCCCCATGTTTGCTAGGCATTACTGACAGTTTTTGGAAATACACAGCTGGAACTTGCTTGCTGTACACTAAACATGGAGCCAAGGTTAACATCAGAGAGTTCATATAAAACTGTGCACAGTTTTAAACAATTATTCAGTTGGCTGGATAGATAGATATTGTCTACAGTTGATCACACACCACACTGGTTTATATGAATTCGTTGCTATTGTAGCTATACCTGTGTATATCATAGTATATTTCTTTTAATGGAGGGGTTAGTCATTCTGATATGTCAGCGAAAGGAGACCATAGCTGGTTAAAGGTTTCTATGCTGTAGTCAGAGTTAAATGAAATCCTTTCTAATGCAGCTACTGTCAGTTACTGATTTGTCCAGACAATTATTTTTAGCAGTGGTTTAGACACTTCCATTTTTTACGAATGTAGTTTCTTAGCAACCAGTCGGGCACTTAGGAGCTACCTTGCTTAATTATGACCCATTTCTTATCCTGTGCCCAAGTTTTCTCATATGTAAAGAGCTTGGGAACGAGCTGTATGTGGACACTGGGAATGAGACATGGAGATATTTATTTGTGGATTGTGCATTCAGGTCATTCGCGACCTAAAGATGTTATGATCTGGTAGCTCTTCGGTGGTCTGTGTGAAATGGGACGTTGGTTTCAATGGACAGATACCTAGCTCACACCCTCCACTGCAACTTGTACGGTCATTCTCATTAGCAGTCAGCCGATAGGTCCAAGGAATGAAAGGGTCATGGTGACCAAAGTCCCTTTCCATCCCTAGAGGTGTCTCTGTCCTTCAGGTTGTGGGGTGAGGGCACTTTGGTGGGAAGAGGGGGTATGGAGAGCTTGTCCCAGTGCTGTCCCTCTTCTCTGGATAAATAGGTAGCTTCAGTCTCCAGGGCTTATACCAGCACTGTATTCATTAAAATTGGATCGTGTGGAAGGCTGATCTCCAGCAGTAGGTGTTACTCTTTCCTGGAAGATTTCCCAGAACAACTGGATGAGTTTGCATTCATAAATCAGGTGCATCAAAGCTCCCGCTGCTAGTTAATATTGCCAGCTTTTATCTGAGACAGACCCAGGAGCTGCTGGGGTGATTTTTAATGGTGTACAAAAACTTTGCAAGGTTCCTTGCTGCTGTATTAGCTGAAGCCCAAAGCAGGTTGTGAGTCTGTGAATATCAATGTCGATTTTGCCCCTCTTGGCTTTTCTGAAATGCAAGTGCCTGGCTCTGAGATGCACAACGCACCTGGAATGAGGATGGTTGTTGCTTCCATCTCAGAGAAACCAGCAAGCGGTGTCTAGATGCTAGGGTGATGGATGTGTTAAGGATGGAAGATAGGACTGATTTGCACCCAACTCCTAATGAATTCCTTGCTACTTTTTTACAGCCAGGTAGGGTGTGAGTTATTCCAGTTAATGCAGTAGTCATCGTCAACTGACAGGATCATCACTCAAGACAGTTGGGTTTTAAAGACAGGGTAGGAGTCAATGCCAAGATAACTGGAGTCACAGCCAGAGAGTTTCTGAGTTGCTAAGGAGTTTGCCAGAAGGAACCTGAGTCAGAGGAATTGTCCTGTGTAGGAACATTAGAGCTAAAAGTGATTGTGCATGGGTGCTTGATGACAATATCTATCGGGAGGAACTCTGGAGCAAAAGCAAGGTATCTGTCCTAGCATGCATCTCTCTAAAATTAAGCTAATTTAGCTAGCCCATCCCAGACACTCCCGTGCTCCAAGCCATCTACTTGTAGCTGCTGGATTTTCTGCTTGGAGTATGTACGGGTGCTCAAAAGACATCAAAGCAGGGTCAGCTGCCATGGTTACTCCTGGGGGAATTCTGCGTCAAAAAATTACAAACTCCGCGCCAAAAAATTAAAAATTCTGCATATTTTTATTTGTCAAAACAACACAATATAATCCACCAGTTTCAATTATTGTAGTAATTTATTTCAAAATACCCGTCAGCAAGTATGTCTGTAACAATACAGACAGCAAAAAAGATTCAGGAAATGTTTTTTGACAAATAGATTCCTTATTAGGCATATTAATACAGAACTCTGAGTGATAATTCATTTAAACTACAATACAAAACCATATTTCCCACACCCTTCAGAAGCAGTGCAACGGCTTGGGGGAGTCAGGGGTAACGGAGGAGCTGAGGAAGAGGGAAGTAATTGCTGGAAAGGAGCCTGGGAGTGAACTTGGAGGGTTGTTGGGTACGGGTGGGAAAAGTATGGAACAGGTTTTTTGGGAGGGCGGGGAGAGATTGTTAGGAAGCTTCCTCCATGCAGACCCTGGCTGACCCCCAGCCTTTCCCATTCAGTCAGACACATCTGCCTGTGTCCCTCCATTCCCACTCAGACACCTACTCCCCCCATCCCCATGTGGCCCTGCATCCCCTCAGCCAGTCCCCTCCACCCTGTCCCCATGTGTCCTTGCACTTCCTGTCCCCATGTGTCCCTCCACCCCCATTCAGACACCCCCTCCCCCTGTCCCCAGGTGTCCCAGCATCCTCTCAGCCAGTTCCCTCCCCTCATCCCCACGTGTCCATGCACCCCCTAGCCCCATGTATCTCTGTGCCCCCACTCAGGCACCCGCCTTCCCCCATGTGGCCCTACACCCCCTCCTCCATCCCCATGTGGCCCCGCACCCCGTCCCCCTGTGACCCTGTGCCTCTACTCCCATTCAGCTCCAGCCCAGTCTATCTATCCGCACTAGCTAGTATGAATCCATCTGTGACACATACCCCCAGCAGCCCCATGTGCCCCTCACTGTCTGTCTCCTGACCAGGCCCGACAGGTGCTGTGAAGAAGGCACTGCAGGTTCTTTCTCTTCCCTATGGTAGCTGGGGCTGGCCGGGAGCAGCTGCTCTGTTCTAGCGCCACAGTGCCCTCTGGTGGGCAAAAGGCGGGACTGCAGCAACTTCCCAGCAAAAGCTATTTTCTGCGGAAACAATTAAAATTATCCACAGCACATGAATTATGCGCATGCTCAGTGGCACAGAATTCCCCCAGGAATACATGCTACATGTTTCAAGCAGAACATCCAGCAGCACCCGGTGAAAGTAAGTGCTGGGTATGGATGAGCACCCAGGCAAAATACTACCCATGCAGAGCTTGGGCTGTGGGTGCAGAATGGGAGGGAACAAAAGCAGGTTCAGACCCTGACATATTCCCAGCTTGCTCTTCTGGGCCCATGGGGAGTTTGGTTTAAATGGACTTCTACGTTTCAGTGCTGCTGGGCACGGAGCTGAGCTCTAACCAGAACCCCGATCTGAACAGCCCCGAGATTTGGAAGAGCTGAGTTCTGGATTCAGTCTCTGTAGCTGAGGCCACCTCTGGGTGAAAACATGCAGCAAAAACTAGCTAGAGCCAGCCAGAGCTTGGGCCTCTGTGGCACAAAAGGTGAAGGTAGGATGGGGCAGGAGAAAGAGACAGAGAACACAGGAAAAGACAACCAGGTCCATTTTGTGTGTGTGTGTGTGTGAACCAGCAATACTCAACGTGTGATTCTAGAGTGACAGGTGGCTTTTCAAGACCCAAGATGTGCTGCTGTCATCTGATTGGAGCTCTTCCTTTCTCTGCAGCTGGACAGAGGGGGAAGGATAAGGAGAGAGTGGGCCTGTTGCCGATCTCAGCTACACTGGTGTAACGCCGTAGGCTTCACTGAAGTCAACCTGGATTTACATCAGCGGAGCTGAGATCAGAACCGTTCCAAGTTTGCGTCAGTGCCGATATTGCCCCTTTGAGCCTAGAAATCCTGGGGATTTGGGAGCACTTATCGTAATCCCAGAGCACTGAGAAGGGGAATGTGTTCTGACTGGGACCGGCTCATTAGCATTCACTAGCGCTGGAAATATGACAAAGGGCTGCGGCTGACCTTTCGTTTCTCTCCACGCTGCCAAATTTATGATAACACTTGTTTGAACTTCATTAACACGGCTTAATTGCATTCGTCACAATCAATAAATCGTTGCCGTACAGACGCCTGTGGCATGAAGGCAGGAACGCAGGGACCCAAAAGGGGGCAGTGGGACAAAAGACCAAAAGCCACTGTACGTTTCCATCTTATGCCCAGGCATCGCATTAAGCATTTAAGATACACACGGTGGCACAAAGAAAAGATCAAGTGCTTCCCTCTCACCCCTGATGCTCCTCTGCAGTCTCTTACTCTGAGTAAATGGTGACGTG